TCTTTTTTGAAGATTGTGAACTGGGCGCCCCCTTTTGGATTTATTTGGTGACAGGACCCGGTCTCTGTTGTCAAGGACTTTACAGCGCCCTCTTCTGGGAGTTTTTTTATGCAGTTTTTTGTTTTTGTTTTTCTCTTATTTTTCTCTGCAAACGCCCAGTTGGATTTGATTTGCACCCTTTTAGGGTAATTTTTTTGATCAAGAATAAAACTTTCTTAACCTGCACTTGTGTCCGCCTGTGTTCCCTGACAGAACAATCTAGCCCGAAATGGACGCAGCAGGTTCGGATCCAGTCATTACTGCAGTCACCCAGCAGGGTGTGCTGCTAGGGCAGCATGAGGCAAGGTTGACCAACACCACCAGGGAGATGGAGTACTTGGCCAATCAGGTAGCTGATTTAACCGCACGGATCCGTGAGTTGCAGCACGACACAGCCCAGGGGGGGCAAGCGGACCCTGGCCCTCAGCATACACGTGAACCCCGATGCAACAACCCACCACCTTACGATGGGGACCCCAATTCATGTAGAGCCTTCCTCTCTCAATGCTCTGTGGTGTTTGCCTTACAGCCACACACCTACGCTGCTGAAAGAACCAAGGTGGCATACGTTCTGACGCTGCTCGCAGGCAAGGCCCGTGATTGAGGAACATCAGTCTGGGAAACCCAAGCTCCCTGTTGTGCATCGTTCGAAGACTTCAGACAAGAGATGGTGAGGTTGTTCGATAGATCTGCTCAGGGGCAGGAGGCAGCGGACCAGTTGGCTCGTTTACGCCAGGCAGGCCGGTCAGTCACAGAGTATGCCATCCAGTTTAAGACCTTGGCGGCTTCCTGCGACTGGAATCAAGGGGCCTGCATGTCCATGTTTCGAGCCGGGCTTGAAGAGGAAATCCAGGACGAGTTGGCCACCATCGACCTTCCCCAAGATTTTGATGATCTCATTAGTATGGCCCTACGGGTAGAAGGACGTCTGCGCCGCCGTTGTCAACGTCCAGTCTTCCGCCCACCCTGGAGGATGGAGGACACTTCCTCTGCTGGTCCTGAGGCTGCTAATGCCACCTCCTTGGGTTCAGAGCCCATGCAGGTGGGGCGTCTTCGGCTGACTCCCCAACAGAAACAACAGCGCCTTATCCAGGGCCTGTGCTTCTACTGCGGCAAGCCAGGGCACTTTGCAGTGGCCTGTCCGTTAAAAGCCGCGGCTCGCCAGTAAAGAGGGGGATCCTGGTGAGCGCTACCCCTTTATTGAATTCCCCCTCCTCTCGTACTGTTCTCCCTGTATCTGTCCAGTTTGGTGACTCTTTTAATTCTGCTTTGGCGTTGGTCGATTCCGGGGCCGAAGGTAATTTTATGGATAGTTCTTTAGCTACCTTGTGGGGAATCCCTGCACTTCCTCTTTCCAATCCTATCCCTGCTCGCTCTCTTAATGGCAGCCTTATCACCACTGTATCCCATACCACCCCTCCCCTCCATCTCATTGTCTCGGGCAATCACCATGAGGTTACCACGCTGCTTCTCCTAGATTCACCTAGTGCCCCCATAGTTTTGGGGCATCCATGGCTGGTGCAGCATAGCCCTCATGTAGATTGGTCGAGTAATTCAGTTTTGTCTTGGAGTCAGCATTGTCTTGCTTCGTGTTTGGGTCCTGCTGCTTTTCCTGTGTCTGTGTGTCCTGTCTTACAGGTGGAGGCAGCTGATCTCTCTGGGGTACCGGCGGAGTACCTTGACCTGCGCCGGGTGTTCAGCAAGTCTCGGGCCACTTCCCTGCCTCCGCATCGTCCTTACGATTGTGTCATAGAACTCCTCCCAGGCACTTCTTCGCCCAAGGGTCGTTTATTTTCCCTTTCTGGTCCAGAGAGAGAGGCCATGGATAGGTATATCAATGAATCACTCAAAGCCGGTCTCATCCGACCCTCTTCCTCCCCCGCGGGTGCCGGGTTCTTCTTTGTCAAAAAGAAAGATGGCTCCCTGCGTCCTTGTATTGATTATCGAGGGCTCAATGACATCACTATTAAAAACAGGTACCCCTTACCTCTCATGTCTTCTGCCTTTGAACTTTTGCAGGGAGCCAAGGTCTTTACCAAACTTGACCTCCGGAATGCTTACCATCTTATCCGCATACGAGAGGGGGATGAGTGGAAGACCGCCTTTAACACGCCTACGGGACACTTCGAGTACCGGGTCTTACCATTCGGTCTGACCAATGCCCCGGCGGTCTTCCAGGCCTTGGTCAATGATGTGTTGAGAGACATGGTTAATCGTTTTGTCTTTGTGTACCTTGATGATATCTTGATATTCTCTCCGTCTTTACAGGTACACACCCAACATGTCCGCCAAGTGCTACAACGGTTGCTGGAGAATCAGCTTTATGTTAAGGTGGAGAAGTGCGTTTTCCACGTCCAGTCGGTCTCGTTCTTGGGATTCATTATTTCGGCTGGAGAGATCCAAGCAGACCCCTGTAAGGTAAAGGCAGTCGCCAAGTGGCCAACTCCAGATTCTCGTAAGGCTCTGCAGCGATTCCTGGGGTTCGCCAACTTTTATCGGCGCTTTATCATGAATTTTGGTCAGATCGCTGCACCCTTAACAGCACTCACCTCTCCCAAGGTACCGTTCAAATGGGAAGTTGATGCTCAGGAGGCCTTTGATAAATTAAAGTCCCGTTTTGTCTCTGCTCCTGTTCTATCTATTCCAGATCCTGAACGGCAATTTATTGTTGAGGTGGATGCTTCGGACGTCGGAGTAGGCGCAGTCTTATCTCAGCGGTCACGCCTGGATGGAAAAGTGCACCCTTGTGCATTCTTTTCCCATCGCCTGAATCCTTCAGAGCGAAATTACGACATAGGTAATAGGGAATTGTTGGCAGTCAGGTTGGCCCTGGGGGAGTGGCGTCACTGGTTAGAAGGCGCAGCTCAGCCTTTCCTGGTCTGGACGGATCACAAAAACCTTGAATATATCTGTTCAGCCAGGAGGCTGAGCTCCCGACAGGCTCGCTGGGCCCTCTTCTTTGGGCGATTTAATTTTACCTTGTCTTACAGACCTGGGTCCAAAAATATTAAGCCAGATGCTCTCTCCCGTCTGTTTGAGGCCCCAGGGGAGAGGGAACCACCCGACACCATTTTACCCAAGGAGATGGTGGTGGCATCTCTCTCTTGGGAAATTGAAAGACGGGTTGAGGAAGCCAGGAGGACAAGTCCAGGACCGGGGAGGGTCCCAGCGGGATGTCTCTTTGTCCCTACCAAGATGCGCTCTGAAGTAATCCAGTGGGGTCACTCCTCTAAGTTGACCTGTCACCCAGGAGTCAGGAGATCACTGGCTGCCATCCGTCAGCGATTCTGGTGGCCATCCATGGCCAAGGACGTCAGGCAGTTCGTGGCCGCCTGCTCTGTTTGCGCTCGGAACAAGAATTCCAATGCGCCTCCCATTGGTCTGCTCCGCCCCCTTCCCATCCCATCCCGCCCCTGGTCACACTTGGCCCTTGATTTTGTCACCGGCCTACCAGAATCTAAAGGCAACACCGTCATTCTCACGGTAGTGGACCGCTTCTCCAAAGCGGCCCATTTCATTCCCCTTCCCAAACTCCCCTCAGCCAAGGAGACTGCTCAAGTGGTGATTGATCATGTTTTCCGGATTCATGGTCTTCCGGTCAATGTGGTTTCTGATAGGGGCCCTCAGTTTGTCTCCCGGTTTTGGAAGGAATTCTGTCGACAGATCGGGGCCTCTACGAATCTGTCTTCAGGATTTCATCCCCAGACCAATGGGCAGTCCGAGCGGGCTAACCAGGATTTGGAACGTACTCTCCGCTGCCTGACGTCCCACAATCCTGGCTCTTGGTGTCAACAATTACCTTGGGTCGAGTATGCCCATAATTCTCTTCCTTTATCTGCCACAGGTATGTCCCCGTTTCAATGCTCTATGGGGTTCCAACCTCCTTTGTTTCCCTCTCAGGAACCCGAAGCTGCAGTTTCGTCTGCCCTTGCTTTCGTCCAGCGGTGTCGACGCACCTGGAAGAGAGCCAGGGAGGCCTTGGCCCAGGCTAATAAACGGACCAAAGCAGCAGCTGATCACCACCGGACTCCCGCTCCTCGTTACAGATGTGGTCAAAGAGTGTGGCTTTCTACCAAGGACCTGCCTCTCAGGGTAGCCTCACGCAAGTTGGCTCCCAGGTTCATTGGCCCATACCGGATCACCAAGGTCCTGAGTCCGGTGGCGATACGGCTCAAGCTCCCTCCTATGCTTGGTCGGGTGCACCCTACCTTTCATGTGTCAAGGGTTAAACCTGTATTGTATTCACGTCTTGCAGTTTTTTGTTTTTGTTTTTCTCTTATTTTTCTCTGCAAACGCCCAGTTGGATTTGATTTGCACCCTTTTAGGGTAATTTTTTTGATCAAGAATAAAACTTTCTTAACCTGCACTTGTGTCCGCCTGTGTTCCCTGACACTATCTTTGTATGCAATTCTTCAGACCTCTAATTTAGTGTATTCCACTTACGTTCAAGGGTACAAGTTGCTGTTTTTAGAGTGTGAGTGTGATTGTTATACCATGGTGTAGTTTTATTCTCTCTTGATTTGATGAGGGCAACATTATTTAGTGTGTTAGTGAAGATAACATACATACTGCTACATCAAGGTCATTTGTGTTCATGGGTGCATTTAGAAACACAGAACTATCAGGTAAGTTATTCATAAATTTGTCTTTAGTGGATGGGATGATAGTTCAAGCAGGGTGATAAATCTGTGCAGATCTGCTCATTTCAGGTATACACAGATTAAAAAATAAGTGGCAGTTGCCTAATATGTGGCTTGAAACCAGCTAATTTGAGTCACATGTTTGGGTTTGCCCTAGACTGGATCATGTTGTGTGCTTTAAATGATGTGAAATAATAAACACTATATAAGTGTTCTATCCCTCATTCTATCGGGTGTGTTTGAGTGCGGTGTTGTTAGTGAAGTGAGCATTGATTGCTATAAAGTGTGCTGTTCTTCATCTCAGTATATTGTCATCTCCAGGTGATGGTCAGCGGCTGATTGTTTCCTGAAAGCTCTGCTAATGTCTGCATTGGTGTTTAAGCTGCAGTATGGCAGAGGAGCGAGTAAAGGATTCTCTCTCAGAGAAACACAGGTATTGACTCTGTTTTTACACCATTATTTCAACATGACAACAGACAGACCTTCAGTCAACTATTAGCTTGTGCTGAATTAAACTGAACAAACTCATATTTGTCTGATAAACTCTTGTAAAGGAGACTGAAATTTGTCCTGCAGTTTATTCCTCTGGTGTGTTTGTGTGTTCAGTGTGAGATCAGGATCATGTGTGTCCAGCTCTGTGTCTCTGAAGAGTGACTGCTCTAAAAATGGTGTACCTCCAGACCTCAGAGAGAAAACACCATCATCAGTTAAAAGGTATTTAGTGTTTTACATTATTGGTCACACTTGGACTGTATTGAACATGTTATTGTGAACCAACAATCCAGAAAATAGAGTCATTAGTAAATGAATCAGTTGTTTGGATGAATCAAATGACTCAATGACTTTTGGTGAATTAAGACATTTACAGACACCTAGTGATGGTTTTAGTTTCTTATTCAGAGTATCTTTTAGACAGGCAAGGGGACAAAACAAGCAATCAATCATAATCAAGAGTAATCCACAAAGAGTAATCCAATATCCAGACAGCGAACAATAAACACAGAAGATTAAAACACAAACCAGTGAAACACGCTCTGAGTGTACATGAACGAGTAACACACCGCTAATCCACAAGAGTACTCCAGTAAACAGAGCTGATGGCTGATTTTGCAGTACTTCATGAAGCTTCAATACCTTTACAGTTTTTTGTTTCAAAGCAGTGAATCAGAGCACATATCAAATGGGCAGAGTCATGTGATTTCAGTAAACGAGGCTTTTTATGACTTTAATGCTTCGAAATGTTTGGAAATTCAATATTTTTCCACCAGGGGGCAAAAACTTGATCTGCATAATATCCACATGAATCACACAAATCCATTCAGTTTGCCCTCCAGTGGTGAATCACTGAACAGGTGTTATAGTTTTACCTGATCTCAGGTCAGTTTAATGAGTTTGTAGATGTTTAATTAGACATTTATAAAATGAAAAGAAATAATAGGTAATAGTCTCTTGTTGTCGCAGTGGCGCAGTAGGTAGTGCTGTCGCCTCACAGCAAGAAGGTCGCTGATTCAAGCCTGGGCTGGGTCAGTTGGTGTTTCTGTGTGGAGTTTGCATGTTCCCCTCTGCGTTTGTGTGGTTTTCCTCCGGGCGCTCCGGTTTTCCCCATAGTTTAAAAACATGCGGTACAGGGGAATTGGGTATAGGCTAAAATTGTCAGTAGTGTATGAGTGTGTGTGTGGATGTTTCCCTGAGATAAATTGCGGCTGGAAGAGCATCCGCTGTGTAAAAGTTGTTGATTCATTCCGCTGCGGCGACCCCAGATTAATAAAGGGACTAAGCTGAAAAAGAAATGAATGATTGAATGAATGAATGAATAAATGAATGAATGTATGAGTGTCTTGTTGTCTTGTTTAGCAGAGCTGATCATAGAACAAACAATAAACAAATCTTGAAAACAGAGATATTGACACTGAAACAGACATTGAAAAACAGTTCATATTTAAAGATATTAGATGATAAGCTTTTATGCAGAAGGTTATACTTTAACATAAACCCATAACCCATAAACAAGCATAGGTTGGGCAGGTGATAAACAATCAATGATCCAAATAGACCAAAAAGACCAAACTAACACAGGAAAACCAGTAAACAGTGAAACGCTTGATAAAGTCCATATCATGAAACAATACTCAGCAATGGATGTCTGTCAAAATTGTTTAACCCAAGTTTATGTGAATTGTGATGTGGAAAGCATTGGGGTCATATAGACCAGCTGTGTCAAATTCAGTTCCTGGAGGGCTGCAGCCCTGCAGATTTTCAGATTTCCAACCTTACTTCAACACACCTGTAGGTCTCAAACAAGCCTGAAGGACTCAATTGGTTTGATCAGGTGTGTTTGAGTTGGAATTAAGTTTTGCAGAGCTGCGGCCCTCCAGGAACTGAGTTTGACAGTGGCTGATATGAGGTGTAGAGTGCCTTCTAGTGTGTCTGGTGCTGACGGTGACACAATTTAAAATTAATATTGTCATTCTAGGTTTTTCCATTTAGTGAAGTCAAAACATCCTCCATCAAACCTCAGAGAGAAAACACCATCATCTGCTGAAAGGTATTTTGTGTTTTACGTTTTGGTCACTAGTGGTTGGACCCTTCAGGGACCTCATCATCTGATTTGATTTCCATTCCATGATGATTCTTAACTTAGTTTTTCTATATTTTCTGTTGTGCATGTATGTCTTTACAATTTTACATTTCAACCAGGAAACCTAATTTGCTGTGCTTGTGTTTATTAAAAGGAATCTATAACGACTCTAGGAATTTTAACAGCATATTGAAGTCAGCCACAAAATGAAAAAGAAGCACCAGATCATAACCGTCTGTAATTATCTGGTGCTTCTGTGTCTTTGTGGCTGGCTTCAGTATGAATTAATAATTGCAGACTGTTATTCATCTGTCCAAATGAAGCTAATTCTACAGGATGCTTATATCACAAAAGTGGTGAGCACTCTAGATCTGAGGATTACAGTGGTGGCCTATCCATTGCCTCTGGGCCCTTGGGCTCCTCCACAACTTGCCCTATCACATTTGTGCTGGTTTGTCCCCATGCTTGTGTTTTTATTCATTGACAACAGAGTTCAGATGCCCATCACAGCATCAGAGGGTGAGTTTTCATGTTCAGATGACAGACTAAGCTCGCTGCCACCATCTGGGGTGCAATGCGCGGTCACTGATCTAGAGTCAGGCATGATGGCTGTGCTTTCATGATGGCTGCTGCTTTGGCAGTAGGGCTGGAGATGGCTTGTCCCACTAGTCCCACGGTCGGACTGACTAGAGCGGGAGCTGATGTGAGATAAATTCTTCCAGACCCCCTTCCCCATCTTCCAAGGAGCAAACAGGGAGCTCAACCAGGTATGTTTTTACCTAACGCTCTTCTACCCTCACCTCACTCGATGGCGGTACAAAGCTTTTGCCTGGATGGTAGGCGCCGCCACCTGGAGGATAAGCTGAGATCCTCAGGTGGGTTATCTGAGGTTCTCACAGCCAGAGCTCACACTGCTGTGGGCCATGCTTCTTTGGCCCTGTGCCATGGTACCACAGCACCACAGGTGGCCGACAATGCTCTCATGACCACCAAATCGGCTGTCAGAGCCCTGGGGAAGATGATGGCCACACAGTGGTCCAAGATCACCACCCTTGCCTTACCCTGGTAGATATATGCCCTGCTGCCTGAGCTCGTTTTCTTGGCATGCCTATATCACAGGTCTATTTGGTGACACTGTCTACCCAGCAGTCCTCAGTGGGGAAAGAACAGCTGAGCGCAATGAAACAGGTCATCTTCCTGAGGTCATCTGTTATTTGAGTTTACTAGCGTGTTTTTCGCGACAAAAGCCGCAGCCACCTGTATGTGCAGAATGCAGACGGTGCTGCCCTGTCTGATTAAGTTTGACAGGATTACAATGGTCTTACTGAAGTTTTTTCAGAGGTTCCTCAGCCATATCAGGTTGCAGCCGCTATCTCACTGCTCAGATTGTTCAAATTTGACCACTTCAGCACTGGCTTCATAGTCAAGTTCCCAGATGGGCATGGTGTGCGGGGATGCACAGGGTGACCATCACCTCGCTGTGATGCCGCACCTTCAGTCCCTGGATGGATCTGGCCTTCTACAGGCCTGGGTGCCCTTAAACAAGTGTCCACAACAAACAAGTGATGTCTGGGCTTAAACAAAGAAACATTTAGTCTGTCACTGAAAAGTCGAATAGACATCTAAGAATAACCCAACACTAGACAAATACACAGATTAGACAGACTTGACATGTGTAGTTGTTAATTCCAAATTTAACCTTATTTTAGCCAAGCCATCTTTGATGGGATGTCTATTAGTCTTCTATTAAACACAAAAATGTGCTTATTAAGATACTATAGTTGTCACAGATATTAGATAATATTAGAAATTAGCCTGGAGTAATGAGGCACAAGACGCAAGCTCAACCATGCAAGTTGACGTGCTCTCCCAGTAGCTCACACTCCTGGGAGAATAGAAACTCCACCCCAGCATGGTCCAGGTAATACGAGTGCACTTCAGGGAAGCCCAGGTCATCCTGCTTACTTCTCGCGAGACTGCTCATCGGCAGTTGCTTTTTTCCCTGCTCTGTACAGATGCTCTGCGCTGACCCCGAGGCTTAAGCAGTATGCATTTTTCCCTCTGTGATCCTGCTCACACAGACCCTGTGAAAGGTCAGGGAGAAAGAGCAGAAGGTCTTGCTTGTTGCGCCTCCGAGGTTCAACCTGACCTTGTTGTTTCTGAACTCACACCCCTCGCGATGACCCCTCCTTGAATAATTTCCGAGGAATCACTTCCTTTCTCAGAGATGGGGCAACCTCTGGGGCAACAATCCCATATCCGTCCCTAAGTCACCGAGCATTTCCCCTTTACAGGCAGATTTGTGTCTTCTCTACCCGCTAACCATCTTATCATATAAAGCGCATATACTTACTGTCACCAGGTCTCCCCGTTGGGTAGCAAGTCACCTTCATTCCACCCTTCCTCATATTTTAAAAATCTTTTGACTACAGTTAGCTAGGTAAAAAGTTAACAATCGACAACCTAAATTCTAAACTCTTCACATACTCTGGTAATTATAGGCATACCTTTAGAAGGTTGCACTTTTGGTGATATTGTGTGCTCATGCTGTGCTTGGCAAACTTCACACTTCACACCAAATACACAACAGGCTCAGCTGCTGTGGTGTTTTCCACACACTCTACCAATAGCATCTCTTCTAGACCCAAGTCAATGTTCCCGACCTGATGGGGAACGTCCTGGTTATGTCTGAAATTTATCCGCTCAATTTAATATGTGACAGAGGGATGGACTAATTGCACAAGTTCACTGTCCACACTGTCTTCTTATCATGAGGTCTACAGAACATTTAGTATTTTAATGTCTTTCATATGTATCTGTATTTGTTTCCCTCACTAATTTTATTTGTTAACAGTGTTGAATATGAGTCACCAGATTTAAAAAACAAGACTCACAGAAGCCGAAAGAGTTTCACAGACAATCTCCTGAAGATCTTCCAGGTGGGATGTTTTTTTTAATTCCTATTATAACACAGATTAGACCGGCAATACATGTCTATGCATTAATTCCAAATTCCACATTGAACCTTATTTTAGCCGAGCAATCTTTGATTGGACGTCGTTTAGTCTTCAATTAAATGCAAATCAGAATTGAGCACTTACAGACCTTAAATATAATATATATTTTTTAAGTATTAAATAGTTTTTTTTTATTTAGAACTGTAAGTTATTAAATATATTTGTGAAATATCGTTCTTCTTTTTTAAATATAGAATCTTGAGAGCAAAATGATCAAGTTTCTGAAGAAAGAACTGCAAACGTTTAGGAAAATCTTACAAGAAGAAAACAGACAAGAGTTTGTGAAGGACTTTAATGAGAACAGAAGCATTATCACAGAAGCAGCTCTTGATCTCACACTCTTCTTCCTGAAAGAGATGAAGCAAGATCAAGCTGCTGATACCCTCGAGGGTAAGCAAATCATAGGTATCTGTCAGACTGACACATACAAATATAGCTGGAAAAGTCAAGACTAAACCTCTCTGTTTCTTTGCTCCTGTGTTTAGGTGAGCTGTTCTTCATTAATCAGCTTAAATGTAGCCTGAAGAAGAAATATCAAAGTGTGTTTGAAGGAATTGCTCAGCAAGGAGACTCCACACTTCTGAATAAGATCTACACAGATCTCTATATCACTCAGGGTGCGAGTGAACAGGTCAACACTGAACATGAGATCAGACAGATTGAAGCTGCTTCCAGACGTCATCAGTCACTAGAGATACAGGTTGAATGCAAACATTTGTTTGAAGCAGCTGAACAAGACGAGCGGATCAGAACTGTCCTGACAAAAGGAGTTGCTGGCATCGGGAAATCAGTCTCTGTGCAAAAGTTTGTTCTGGATTGGGCTGAAGGGAAAGAAAATCAAGACATCAGCTTCATATTTCCTCTTCCATTCAGAGAGATGAACTTAAAGGAGAAAGAAAGACAAAGTTTAAAAGACCTCATAACACAGTTTTTCCCAGAGACTAAAGGACTGAACCTTACAAGAAGCACACGATTCAAAGTCCTGTTCATCCTTGATGGATTGGATGAATGTCGTCTTCCTCTGAACTTTGCTGGTAATGAGACGTGTCGTGATGTATCTTCAGCAGTCTCTCTGGATGTTCTCCTGACGAACCTCATCAAGGGAAATCTGCTTCCTTCTGCTCTCATCTGGATCACCAGCAGACCAGCAGCTGCCAGTAAGATTCCTGCTGACTGTATCGACCGGCTGACAGAGATACGAGGATTCAATGATGCCCAAAAGGAGGAGTACTTCAGAAAGAGACTCACAGATCAGAATCAGGCCAGAGAAATCATTGATCACATTAAACAGTCAAAGAGTCTCTTTATTATGTGCCACATCCCAGTCTTCTGCTGGATTTCAGCCACTGTTCTCCAGAACATACTGAAACTGAAACACAGGGCTCATGCTGAAACACTGCAGGAATCTCCCAAGACTCTGACACAGATGTACACACACTTTCTCCGCTTTCAGATCCAGCAGAGCAGAAGAAAGTATGATGGAGAAAACACAGCAGATGTCTCCTGGGATCCAAAGCTCATCCTTTCACTGGGGAAACTGGCCTTCCAGCAGCTGGAAAGAAACAATGTGATCTTCTATGAGAGCGATCTGAAAGACTGTGGCATTGACGTCTATAAGGCATCGGTGTACTCAGGCATGTGTACCCAGATCTTTAGGGAGGACACGGGAATCATTCTTGGTACCATGTACTGCTTTCTTCACTTGAGCATTCAGGAGTTCATTGCAGCCCTTTATCAACATCTGATTCTAGACAATGACAAGACACAAGCAGAAAAAAGCAGAGATAAGATCATGATTGATTTCCTGAAGACTGCAGTGGACAAGGCTCTGGAAAGTGAGAATGGACATCTGGACCTTTACCTTCGCTTCCTTCTCGGTCTGTCACTCCAGTCCAATCGACAACTCTTACGAGGCCTGTTGACACAGCAGGATGACAGAGACCAGAGCAAAGAGGAAATAATTGCCTACATCAAGCAGAAACTTGAAGGGAATCTGTCTCCAGAGAGATCCATCAATCTGTTCTACTGTCTGAACGAACTGAACGACCAAACTCTGCTGAAAGAGATTCAGTCTCACCTCAGTAGAGGAAGTCTGTCATCTGCTGACCTTTCACCTGCCC